AAGTTCAGGATAATAGAGAATTTCAAGCGCTATCAGAACATATAACTGCGTGTGCAAAAAGTTATTTCTATAGTGATAATAAATCTGAAATAAAAACCAAAGAGATAGTAAAAAGTCTGGTTATTTAGGTTTGCAAACTAGGGTGCCTAAATAATATTGGAATTATTCTTTAACAAATAAGTGCAAAACAAGACACAAATACATAGAACGATAGAAAATCTCACCGGCTATCAAAATACACAATTACTTTTGTAAAAGAGTGTTCTTATAGTTATAATAATTTGAAAAAATACTGAAGAAATAGCGAAAAATATGCACTTTTTTGTACTTGTCAAAGTGGGTTGCCTTTACTTTATTCAAATTTTTTCCCAGCAAGTAAATGCAAGACAATATATAAATATATAGGGTGATAGAGGATTTCAAGCTCTATCAGAATATGTGATTACTTTTTTTATAACCTATTTGTAATACTGAAAAAATCCTAAAAAACTATACGAGATAACAATGATTGTATTAAGTGTGTGGAAATGAGGTACTGAGGGTGTGTTCACTTCATTGGAATAATTTTTTTACACAGTGATCCAAACAAAAATAAAAATATACAGGATGATGTAAACTCTCACGGGCTTTCAGAATATGTCGTTACTTTAAAAAAAAATACGTTCTTTTGGTAGTAATATCCTCACAATATCGAAGAAAACTTATTTTTTCCAGGGATATATAGCACAGAAACTAAGCATCTCTGAAGGACGCGGAGGTTTTCAGTTCTAGTTGACATCTATACTCACTGAGAATGTTACAGCTCGGACATAAGCCATTCTTCAGATATGCGGGAAAGAGGAGGGATGCTCTTAAAGTACATTCTTCGCTTTTTCACTTATCAATGGATTGTTTTTACCGCAGCAAAAGAACAATTTTTCCAAGAGTTATTTGCGAATTTTGATTTTCCGAATAGATGAGCCCGTCACATACAATAACTTATTGTGTTCTGTCAAGACACGAGATACTGCAAAACACTTTTTTTGACACGTTATGAACTTGTGTACAATCGTCTTTGATTAACAAAATTTTTAAAAACATTTTTTAACAAGACATTTTTCATTCTTTATGCGTCAGTTAGATACATAAAGCTGCGAGAAGTCTGGATACCAAGCAGGTATTTTGGGAACGTAAAATACATTGCGCTCGGATCGCGTGTGTAATATAATTTATCGATAAAAGAGGGATAAAACAATGCTCTGATATCAAATGTATAATACTTTTACCGCAATTTCTTCATTCAGCTGTATGTGATCTATTGTTGCTGAGCTTTGACTAGCTCAGCGATGTGCTTCTGCTTTCTTTTCTAGCAGGAAGTCTCTGAGATCCTTTCAGACAATCTTGCTTGTGAAAATTTTACTTGTTATTCAACTTGGTGTGCTTCGTAGCGAAAGAGAAGTTTGTTGATTACGGCGTGCGCACCCTGTTCAAGTATAAACTAAATGTAACAGTATTTATGTTTTCTCTGATTCGTCTTACTCCATTTTGCGTACTAACTACTATTATGACTTCGTTCGGTAACCGCTGGGAGTCGGAACATCACGCTGTTAGACTTTATTTATATCTCATTAGAAAGTGATGAAAAAGTCATTAGAGTATAGTAAAAGAGTTTAAGGGTGTTTTTAACCTATAGGTTAAAAACACAAAAACAGCGTGTCCCTCACCCGTTTTTCTGCATTCTAACGTTATGCGACTTTTAGTTTTTCAGATGGATTTTGGATCTAAGTACGTGTATAATTATAGTTATTCCAGTGAAGAAGAATTATCTGATTCAGGCGGCGAAGACCATGATGAAATTCAACTCAGAAAAGGTTCTAAAATAGTACCGTCGGCAGCAGCGGATGGAGATGTTACTGTTAGTACTGTTAGTACTGACGCAGCACTTGACACAAAGAAGTTGCAAATGCAAGAGAAAAAAAATCATTTGCCACATGAACAAAATATGAAACAAAAACGTCGTTTAAGAAAAGCAGACACTAATGTTTTGAGCGTTCAATTCAACCGCTTACTACAACCAACGGAAAGTAGGTTGGATTATGATTGATACATGGTGATTCTAATCAGTGCTTTTTAGTGCATGCCGGTGATTTTATTAAATGTAGTGGCTGTACCGCCATAGCATCTCATCTTAGTAAAATAACACCGCAACAGCCACAAGAGAAACTCGCTGCTGAGGAAGAAGAGCAAATACCATCATCACGATGGTTATGCGAATTTTGCAATCAAAGCAATAGTACAGATATTGAACAAAACGATTTGCCCAAACAAGAAGATGCAACTTATCTTGTTCAACCGGCTCCAGTTGTCCATGGTAGTGACATGAGTGGTGTGGATAATAGTATAGTGTTCTTTTTAATTGATATTTCTGGCTCGATGAGCACAACAACATTAGTAAATGGAACATTTCAAATGCCAAATGCACAGAAACAAAAACAATACGCTGCCGAACATTTTGACGGCGCACAAATGATTCGCCAACATCGTCAAACACATGTCACACGTCTTCAGGGTGTTCAGATGGCTGTGGATGCCAATTTAGATAATTTAGTCAAAGTCAATCCAACAAGACGTGCTGCCTTATTAACATTTAATCATGAATTAACATATTATGGTTTGTACTAATTGTACATATATCACTACCAAGCAATATTTTCGTGTTATCTCTCTTTTAAGGTGATGGAACACGCGATCCTTTGATTATTCGTGGTGATAAATTAAATTCAGAAGAAGAATTACGTCGAGAAGCTGCACAAGCAAATGCTGATGAGTTAAAGCCAATTAAAGAAACGAAAAAAAAACTAATCGACCGTGTTTATGATCTAGAAGAAGGAGGACAAACAGCATTGGGCTCGGCTGTTATATTTGCATTGAATGTAGCATCAAAACGTCAAGGCTCAAAGATTGTCATATGCACAGATGGTATGTAAAAGAAACGCATACATCAATCAAATGCTTTATATGGTTTATTTTTGCACCTCAGGTATGGCTAATCGTGGTTTAGGAAATTTGGAAACAGCAAACGATGAAAAATCAGAGAAAAATGTCAGATTACAAGCTATCGAAGAAGGAAATCAATTTTATGGCAATATTACAGCTATAGCAAGAGATAAAGGTGTTTCTATATCGGTTATTACAATCAAA